TGCCCTGCCCCGCCCTGCCCAGAAGGTGTCCAGTCTCTCCCACTGCCAGGTGTGAACTCCTGGGGGGAGGGTCCCTCAGCACACAGTTCCTCTTTGACTTCCCCTAGCATGGGTCGGCCCTCCGGGAGAGCTCTCCGGTAGCTTCATTGTAGCTCCAGAGCACTCCAGGCTCCCCTCTCTCCACCAGAAATCAGTTAGGGGTTCTTCCAAACTGAGGCCCAGATTTATTCGTTTTTTGTTGCTCTTGGAAATGCAAATAGTACTCTGGTATCACAGTGCACACTTCTCAGGGTCACGCTGTCTCCTGGCACGGCCGCTCCAGACCTGTCGCCAGCTTAAAAGCCTAGGCGGGAGCGCTGGCGGCGGTGGCGAGTGTGCGGGACCGTCAACGCCCAGCGGCGGGCTGCGGGCTGCAGGCAGCAAGTGTCAGTCCAGACCAAGCGCGGCTGAGGTGGCGACGGCAGTCTGCGCTCAGCGGCCCGGGCGAGGGGTGGGCCCAATAATGATAATTTAGATGTTGTAAAAATAGGGCCTAATATTCCCAGGTAAGATGGGACTCCATTGTTTTTAGATTGAGTACATAACACAGAATGAAATAAATACTCCAGTGTGTAGCTTATTTCTTTTCAAAACCCTGTAGTGCAGAGGGAGTCATCATTAGCATTGCTCTTTCCAGAGGATTCTTGAGGTAGTGAAGCCAGATTTAATGATTAAGAATCTGATCAGTTTTTTTCTCAGCAATTCCAATATAGTAAAGTTTGATGGGCCGGCCCGGTGGTGCACTGCTACAGTGCGCCGCTTGGGAGCGCGGAGGTGCTCCCGCCGAGGGTTCGGATCCCACATACAGACCGGTTCCCACTCACTGGCTGAGCGAGGTGCGGGTGCGACACTGAGGGTTGCGATCCCGTTGCCGGTCCCGGTCCGGTACGGGCGCGACACTGAGGGTTGCGATCCGTTGCCGGACACAAAAAAAGACAAAAAAAAAAAAAAGTTTGATAAATACTGTAGAAAATGGTGAATCTCTTTACATTCGTTATCATCTTTTGTAAGATACTTGATAATCCAGTTCATGTTGTGTATATTTGGGGACTCTGAAGAGAGTGTAAAAGTCCTGATCATAGGTAAGTGTGTGTCCTTTGCAGACCTAGCAACAATAATGTAAACAAAGGAGAAGCACGCCACAAATGGAAGCCCAAAGCCAAAGTGCCCCTTCAAACTCTACACATGACTTCTGAGAATCAAGAGAAAGTGAAAGCTCTTCTTCGAGACCTGCAAGAACAAGATGCAGATGCTGGATCTGAGTAAGTTATTTTGAGTAAATTATTACATTAAGGAAGGTGTATTGGCAGTGCAAAGGTCCTGTGCATCTTCGGAATACTGTATCAATACTGATCATGTAATGGCCATCCAATTAGTTGAAAGTGGGCCAAGACAAATACAAGCATAATTATTCAGCCACAGTTTTACAGTGTGTTTGTTTTGTGACATCTGTGAGCAATAATGCAGATTGCTTTTTTATCTTTATTTTCTTCCAGGACAGTGGTAATATAGATTCAGTAATTGCTTTATTGATAACCTTCCAAATAATACCTTCTTATGAACAAGTAGGAGTATTGCTCTAGGAGCAAATACTGAGTTGATCAGATGAAGTCTTAAGACTACACTTCTCATGACCATCTGCTTGAGAGAAATAGCTTTCACTCTGAAATCTTAGTTGCTTTCCCCCTCCTCCCCATTGCATTTCGGCTCTTTTGCTTGTGATTTAAGTTGGAGATGTTAATCTTTCTTTTCATTTGCCAGAACTAATGAGTGGTCAGTAATGAACAGCTCATTTTCATTCCATCTACAAATCTGTTATCTGTCTCAGATTTAGGAAAAAAGATTATGCAGCAAAGTAAAAAATTAGGGATTGTTTTTATGAATGAGAAGAGAGAGAGGATGGCCAAGATTTCTGTGGTTAAGAACACAGGCTCTGGAGTCAGATTGCCTTGGGTAAAATTAATTTCTAATTGCTCCTTACTGTGTAAACTTAGACAGGTACTAATCTACTCTAAGTTTTCAATGATCATCTGAAAAATGGGAATTCTATTTAGTAGTACCTAATAGGATTATTGGGAAGATTAAAAGGGTTAGTACAAATAAAGCTTTTAACAGAGTGACTGGTATGTAATAAATGCCTTATAAATGTTAATTGTCAAGACATAAATTAACAGTTCAATAAAAGATACAATTAAATCAGTGACTAAAGAGTAGTTGGGATCGTATGTCTTTGGCTCCTTGAATTGAATTCTTAGACACTTGCTAAATTTTTCCTTGAAGTAGGTAGAAATTAATAATCTAATATTTGAAAATATTTCCTTTGCTAGAAGAGGCATTTCTGGAGAGGAGGAAGATGATGAGCCTGATTGTGGAGAGGATGAGCGGTATTGGTCATCCGGACAAGAACCTTCCCTTGTTCCGGACTCTGATCCTTTGGAATATGCTGGCTCAGCCCCAGTGGAGCCTCATATTCCAGAATTTACAGTCTCACCATTTGCAGTGCAAAAACTTTCCAGGTGGGTTTGATCCCTGTTACCAGCCAGGTGCCAAAACCAAAACAAAACAAAATTTTCCAGATGATTGTTTTCATTATTTATGGGAGTTGGGGGAGAATTCAAAGAAACCAGTCATGTTATAAATCCAACTACCACTCCTTGTGTACTTTCCTATTGTGTGGGTTCAGGCAGTGCATGATATGCCTAATATTCTATCGTTTAGGATGGGGGATTAAGGAGGGATTAGTGTGATCAGAGATCCTTTTTCAAAATACAAGCCCTACCTCTTATATAGTCATAACTAAGCATATTTAAGTGACTTTCACTTACATGTCATTTTTGTCATGTTTTGCCCTTGGCAGGTATGGTTTCAACACTGAACGCTGTCAAGCAGCCCTGAGGATTTGTGATGGAGATGTGGGGGCCTCCCTAGAGCATCTACTCACCCAGTGTTTTTCAGAGACATTTGGAGAGAGGATGAAGGTCTCTGAGGCAGTTGGCCATATAAGCTTGGATGAGTGTGTGGAGCAGAGACAGGAGGAGGCATTTGCTCTCAAGTCAATATGTGGAGAAAAATTTATAGAAAGAATTCAGAACAGAGTCTGGACCATTGGACTAGAACTGGAGTATTTGACAAGTAAATTCTGCAAATTCAAGCAAAGGGAAAGTACCAAAAATGCACAAGAGACTTCACTTGAAACCTGTAGATTTTACCTCAAAGGAAATTGTAAATTTGGATCAAAATGCAAATTCAAACATGAAGTACCCCCAAATCAAATTGTTGGAAGAGCAGAAAGAAGTGTAGATGATTCTCATCTTAATGCTAATGAAGATGCATCTTTTTTATATGAACTTGAAATTCGATTTTCTAAAAACCACAAATACCCCTACCAAGCTCCCCTTGTGGCATTTTATTCCACCAATGAGAATCTACCTCTGGCTTGTCGTTTACATATTTCTGAGTTCCTTTATGGCAAGGCCTTGACATTTGCAGAAACTTCAGAACCTGTTGTATATTCTTTGATAACCCTTTTAGAGGAAGAATCAGAAATAGTCAAGCTATTAACAAATACCCATCACAAGTATAGTGGCCCTCCTGTGAACTTTCTGCCAGTGCTCTCTGGGACCAGAATAAATAATCCTGCCTGTCATAAACCAGTGATTCCAAATAATTCTTTTGTTTCAAATCAAATTCCAGAAGGTATGTAATGCATTGATTATGTGAAGGGCATTGTGAAGGGGGCGGGGGGCATTCAGAATGATGGATTTAGAAGTCAAAGCTTCTGAGTCTGGTCTGGGATCTTCCAGTGATATTGGGCAAATCACTCAGTCCTTTGGGCAAAAGGGAATGAGAATCCCCTGAACTATAATTGTACCTGACTTTACTTGTGAGGTTCAATTGTGTTGCTGTGGCTGAGCTCCCTGAATTGAAAGTTTGTAGTGATTTAGTTTAACTATGTAGAATCTGAAGATTGGAAATTACCTTAATACAAGTTCTCAGAAATTCTCTTTCATTTCATTCATTTGGTTTCTTATGTCATTTCTTACACTGTATATGTGATTACTTTCAAATGAGTTTTTAGAGATACTTCTCTTTCTGTACCACTATCCATACCTTCCTGCTTTTAGTATGCTAGACACCCAAAATTCATTAGGGCAGTGTTATCTCTATGAATCCCTAAGTCCTTAAATAAAGAAATGTTTGTGCAAGTTTCTGGCTTTGTCCAGATCCAGGTTTATTGTGCAGATTCTTACACTACAAGGGAGCCTCTTTTCAGCTTTCCTCTAAGAATTCTCTCATATTTGTTGCCATCTTTCTTCCAGAGAAACAGAAGTTTTTATTATTTCACAAGAGTCCCTGGGTAAACGTCAATAAGTAGAGAACAACAAAGCTGCACTGAGATGTGCATGGTACACAGTTAGCTGGGTTCCCTTACTAGCCACCTGACTCATTCCCAAAAGTCTGCTTCTAGCACGTGGGATTCAGATGTGTTTCTTGTGAAATGACCAATTATGTCATGGACTTTTTTTTTTTTTTTTTAAATAACAGCTTTATTGAGATATAATTTACAGGCCATAAAATTCACCATTTTAAAGTGTACAATTCAATTTACACGGTTGTTTAACCATGACCACTATCTAATTCTAGAACATTGTCATCACCCCAGAAAGAGACCTTGAACCCATGAGCAGTCACTCTTCATTTCCCCCAGCCCCTGACAATCATATACAGTCTATCCTATCTCTATGGATTTGCCTATTCTGGACATTTCAGAGAAATGGAATTATATAATATGTGGCTTTTTGAGACTGACTTCTTTCAAAATGTTTAGCATAATGTTGTCAAGGTTCAGCCGTGTCACAGCATGTATCTGCATTCCTTTTTATTGCCAAATAGTATTTCATTACATGGACATAGCATATTTTGTTTATCAGTTCATCATTTGGTAGACATTTGGATTTTTTGGTCTCATGGAATTTGAGGTACACTTGCAAGTAGTTGAAACACTCACTGTTAATTCCTTGAATATTAACTCATTTGTTCTTAATTTGGTTTAACCACTTATAGCTGAGTAAGGTTTATTTGAAGATGCATTTAAGTTATTTAGCAGTAGTAGTATTGAAATGAATGAACCCGCTTTGATCAACCTTTAACTTTTGCTCCATTTTATGATTTTTTTTTGTTGTTGTTACTTTATTAGACAGTGGCTTTCCCCCTTTGCTAAAGAAAGGGCTCCATATCGAAAATGTTTCCTTTTATTCCCTTCAAGTTGAAAAAGAAACAGAACCTGAGGAGGAGGCAGATGAGGATGAAGGTCCTGCACCAGTTAGAGTGGAGAATGAAAGCTATGTGAACCTTAAGAAAAAGATTTCCAAAAGATATGACTGGCAGGCAAAGTCAGTACATGCTGAAAATGGTAAAATCTGCAAGCAGTTCCAAATAAAACAGGTAGGGTATGCTGAGAGAATGACTAGCATGGCCTCCCTAATGTCCGGATGACAGGATTAGGAGTTAGGAAGCTTTGGCCACCCTTCCTAATATCCTTTTGGTTCTCTTTCACCTTGAGTGGTCAAAATTTCTACATGCCACAACAAACTTGGGTGCATGTGCTAAATGGTTTTGGAAAATCCCATGGGAAACCCCACACATGTATACTAAATATTCTCAATCATATGCCTTTGGTATTATGATAGACAATCTGATATGGGAAAGGAATATTAATATTGTGACTTACACTAGAAAAGTCAATGTATAAAAGGAGAGGATAAGGAGGGCCACTTACCCCACTTCAGAGGCTCAAGTAATGTGTCCGTGGTCTTATAGCTAGTAAGTGGCAACACAGGGGTTCAAGACAATTCTCTCTGTTTCCAAAGTCCATGTTGTTTTTACCCCGTTCACATGGAGATTATTTTCCAAGAACCCATAAGTGAAGGCAGTTTGATGTAGGGCAAAGGCAAGTTGCATAACCAGTTTGGAGATTGGATTAAATGCTGTCTAAGGGTTTGTCCATTTCTAAAGTTCTGAGATTCTGATTTTTGAGACAGTATAACATGATTACATATATAGTGTTATACCCATAGAAAATCAATGTATACAAAATTGTACTGTAAATGACACGATGGAAGAATCAAAAAATTACTTGTTCAGTTTGATCAGTGGTATAACATGATTACATATATAGTGTTATACCCATAGAAAATCAATGTATATAAAATTGTACTGTAAATGACACGATGGAAGAATCAAAAAATTACTTGTTCAGTTTGATCAGTTTGATAAATATACTTGGTAAAATTATTTGTAGGAAATGGCATGTTATTGTAAATTTCTTATATTATTCAAATGTGCAGCCATAATTTTAATGTACAATACAGTGTTTATAGCATTGGCCATCAGATGTCAGACTGATTTACAGAGTTGTGATGATTGGCCAAAAATAACTGCTTCTTTCTTTATTAATTTTTTATTGTACATTAAAAAAACCAGTATATTGAGAATCCCTTTTGTTCACAGAGAATGTGGATCTTTAATGCATATTGAGATATATGATTGATGTATATGAGGTATGTGATGGGAGTTTCTCCAAATATTTATAGATGTCTATTATTAAAGTCAGTTAAAAAAACAACAACAACCCTTTAGTGAGTGTTCTTACTATTACTGATTTAAGTAAAAATCTGATACTGTGTAGAGCTATGCTGTCTAGTATGGTAGCCCCTAGCCATGTTGGGCTATTTAAATTTAAATTAATTAATTAAATATTCAATTCTTCAGTAGCATTGTGCACATTTTAAATGTTCAATAGCCACATGTGGCCAGGGGTTGCTGTATTGGACAGTGCAGGTATAGAACCTTTCTGTCAACACAGAAAGTTCTATTAGTCAGTGCTGATATAGAGACTCTTGCTAGGAAGAGCTGGATAGGTGCTCAGCCAGAGGGGTTGTTTCCACTTATAAGATCTTTAAGTTTATTCAGATGTAGGAAAACTATACAGATTCCACAACTTATTCTGGCTGATTCGTTGGGTAGCCTTCTGATTAAAGTCATCTGCATCCAATCCTGACAAATCTCTGCAACCTCTGTCTGTGAATGAATTGTTAAAGAAAGTAGAAAGGGTGTGTCTAACTATGGGATTCTGGATTCAGAGCTTTGTGAAACCCAACTGATGCCTTATTCTTTGATTTAATTAGTCTTCCAGACAGTTCCAGTCAACCCTCCAAGAAAGACAATCACTCCCTGCTTGGGAAGAAAGAGAAACCATTCTTAAATTGCTGAGCAAGCACCAAGTGGTTGTCATAAGTGGTATGACTGGGTAAGAATGCAATTTATTTGTAATGCATCTTTCATCTATAAATATGATATGTACCCTGGTATCACAACCAGTTCTACTTTTTAAAAACCTGTTGCTGGTGTTATTTGCACTTTTTCCTAACAAATACTAATGCTAATACTAATAATGATATTTCACAGAGGCTGTTGTTGCAACTTCTGTAGCCAACAGAGCCAGATTACAAAAAATAAGAACAAAACTCAGAAATCCATCTAGGAATTTATAGACATTGTATACCTCTGCCTTGAGACAATTTTAAGGCAAAAGATTAGCTGAAGACTTAAAAAAGCCCATTTTTAAATTCAAAGGATAGTTCTAGAACATTTAGTTGAAAGCTTTTCATCTTCTGAATTTATTCTGATTTCCTTAAAGCTTTTATTTTTTGTTTTAAGAACAATTTAATGTATATTATTTTTCCTGCTTTAACTCTATATGTTATGTAAAACTGTTTAGCAAGAGCAAATTGCAGACTTAATTTAATTTTTCATTCAATAATATAGGCAGCCGTTTGTATGTGTGGGTTCCACATGTGTGGATTCAACCAACTGGGGATCAAAAATATTTTGGGGGAAAAAAAAAAAATAACAAAATAACAATACAACAATTAAAAAATAATACAAATAAAACAACACAGTATAATAGCTGTTCAGCTATTTACATAACATTTACATTATATTAGGTATTGTAAGTAATCTAGAGATGATTTAAAGCATACAGGCAGATGTACATAGGTTATAGGCAAATACCATGCCATTTTATATAAGGGACTTGAGCATCCGCAGATTCTGGTATCTGCAGAGGTCCCCAATGGATACTGAGGGACAACTGCATACAATTTAATAATTACATTTGTATCCAGACTTACTGATATAGTAGTAATCTTGTATCCTTTAGTTTCTTATCTTTTTAACCTCAGTTCTCTTATAGCCAAATGAATACACATCAAAGGGAAAAATATAAAATATTTTAATGATCATAAGCTAGTACTCTTTTTCTTTAGGATTCATATGTAGAGTTCATATTCCTAGAGGCATTTAAAGACCTTAATCTGATGTCTGTTCAGTAGTTCTAGTTTTACAAATGATACTGAACTACTGTTTGATTTCCCTGTTAATCTGAGTTCAAATTCCTAGAATTTATCAGCTCTAGGTAATAAGTCAAAAGGTAGTTTTAGGACAGATGAAGCTGAACAACTTTTATTCTAATTAGCTTTATCACTTTCTGTGTTGCATGTGATTGCTTCTTAAGTTAACTAGCCCATGAAAACTTCATTTTAGATTTACTTGTTTTGATATACAGATGTGGAAAAACCACACAGATTCCACAGTTTATTCTGGATGATTCTCTGAATGGACCACCTGAGAACGTGGCTAACATTATCTGCACCCAGCCCCGACGAATCTCTGCAATCTCTGTCGCTGAACGCGTTGCTAAAGAAAGAGCAGAAAGGGTGGGTCTGACCGTGGGATACCAAATTCGATTAGAAAGTGTCAAGGTTTGTATGCTCTGCTTATTTCCTGGTAACAGAAATTTATAGTTTTCAGGTATGAAGAGTTCTCGGAGCCTGGAGATTCATGGGCAATTTGGGATATATACTTTCAGGTTATTTTAAATTAATGACCACCTTCAGTAGGGCTGAAGACCTTTTAGAAGTATTTTGGTGTAAGAATTCTTATACTAAATTTCCTCTATAAAGGCTTTTTATTTATTGGCAGAAGTGATCTAGTAAATGTGGTTTGCTCTTAAAGCTAGAACTTAATTCATTTAACCAAATAAGGAGAAAATTCAGAATTGGTTTTATCACTCACTTTTTTTTTAACATTTTGTAATAATTTTTAATGCTTTTTATGAAACCCTTAAATGTAAAATGTTGATGTGAACTAGAAAAACTTTTATTGTGCTCATCAAGAAACTCTGCATTTAGTGTGGTTTCATATTAAATGCAACTGCTGGTGTTTTCAATATTCTTTATCCCTATCCATTCAAAATGGCTTGCCAGTAGTGTTTCCTTTCTTAAAAAATTTCATGAATGCTTTCTATTGTCCTTTTATATGTAAGTCCTCAGCCACCAGACTGTTATACTGCACCACAGGAGTGCTGCTAAGAAGGCTAGAAGGAGATACAGCTCTACAAGGAGTCACCCATATCATTGTTGATGAAGTTCATGAGAGGACAGAGGAAAGGTAAAACACAAATCTTCCCAGTGAACATCCATGCACACAGAATGAAGACATGGCTGAAAAAATTTTGTTCTGCTTCCATTTCAGTTTCACAGAACTAATAATAATAGTCATTTGTCATAGGGAAGGTGTAAGGTAGAGAAGAGGAACTGCTTTCCTGAACTTCAAATGCTAGGAGAGCACATATGTATCACTAGAAGTGTTGTCCTATTAGATTAGAAGGGGGTACTTCACACCCTCCTGGACATCATGCAGAGCTAGACACTGTACTTTGGAGGAATAACAGATGTTGTGCATGCTGTAGCTGATGGGTTGGTCAGTATATGCTTCCTTCTTTGTTCATTTGGTCAGTCATTCAGTCCTGACTTTCCTTCATATTTTTATTGAGCCTGTATGAAGTGCCTAGTGATATTAGTTGCTGAGTATACAATGGTGAACAAACATGCATGGTTCCTTCTCATCTCTTACAGTCTGGTTGGCAAAACAAATAATAAATAAATAGTTACAAATTTGAGTAAGGACTATGAAGGAATAAACAGGATGCTGTATTTGGAGGGAGAGACCCATAAGATGGTAACAGATCATCTCTGAAGAGGTGACATTTAAATAGAAAACTGGTATGAAGGGGAGTCCCATGTGACAAATGGGGATGACAGCATGTGCAAGATTCTGCAGTGGGAAGGGGCTTTGTGAATCCAGAGATGAAAGGAAGGCCAGCGCAGCTGGTGTGTGCTGAGTGAGGGGGAAGAGGCCGGCGAAGGAGCAGCCGGAGCCAGAGCTTCCAGGGCGTTACACACCACGGCTAATGAAGCATGTGGATTGTCTTTTAAAGGAATTAGAAATCGTCTAAGAGTTGAGGCATAAAAATCAAATGCTTAGTATTTTAAATACTGAGGCAAGGCCAGGGTAGATAGTTTGTCATGTGGACCGTGCCCTAGAGCAGTAAAAAACACAAGTGGGAAAAAGAGAGAAGGTCACGTGAAAATTATGTGAGGTTTCCCCAGGAAGTACTATGCTATTATAAATATCTTGAGAAGGAGAAAGAAAGTCTAAGTAAACTTGGAGGGCTGACAGAGAAGCAAAAAATAGCTTATAGCAGAACTAAAAAGAAAAAGGAGACAAACTTGAATAGCAGCCCCAGCTACTGCTGATTAAAAAATTCCTAAGAATCAAACAAGAAAGATCTATAATCAGAAGACTATTAGATGAAATAAATACACTAATATACAAGTAAATAAGAAATATGAATTAGAAACTGAAGTAAAGCAGACTTTTAGATAAAAAGAATAGATCAAAATGAATAATTCCTAGAACAAGACAATAATAAATCTTAAATGACTACAGGAAACACTAGACATCTTTCAGAGGCAAATAATCTTTTTGTAGAGACTCCAGAAAACAGTGGAGAAAAAAAAAAAAGGTAAATAATGTCATTTTTCATCTGTTGGAAATGAACGTTTGACAAAAGATTTTTTTAAAAATAGAATCACTGAACAACTTGATAGAGGAAACCAAATAAAACATTCTACCAGACTAATAGTATTTAAATAATTAGATTATAAAAATAAATTTAAAATGATAGGGAAAACTATATCTAGTATAATTTTGAATATAAAGAATAACTTTGGATTTCATAACATTTATACTTCCACAAACTCAGAGAAACTGGAGCACAGCACTGGATCTGGTTCCTGACTGCAATAGTGTTCTCAAAAGGGAAGGTTTTTATGAAACCTAAGGATCTGTAGAATATCAACAGTTAAAAAGTCAAAAGATTTCACATTTGAATAAAGATAAATTACACACTGGAGAAGGGAGCTTCAAATATTTACAAATACTAGTCTTCAGGAAAGGGTGTATAAATTACAAGAAAAAGTGAAGGAATATTTGTTAGCTTTGATTGAAAAGTGCAGAAAATAGGAGTAAAATCTAGGAACAAAGATCAGTAAAAATATAGACAAGATTAAAGGTTAAATGTAGCAAAGTTACAGTTGTGTTTGTTTAAAATTTTTAATAAATTTCCTGATGACAAAGGTAACATGATTATTCTAAAACATTAAGAAGATACCAAAAAATGTCAAGAAGAAGAATCTCTGTTCTATGTAAGATTGAAAGTTACATGTTCAATTTTGGTTTGTTTTCTCCTGGGAGTGTATTGGGAGTTAGGAGAGAAATGTTGTACAGAGAGATATGTATCTCCACAAACAGTATTGGAATTATATGGTTTTATGTGCTGCTTTTGATTTAATAGTTAATATGATAGCATGAACAATCTTTAAAATTATTATTAATAACTTCATAAGGAAATCCTGAAGTATGGATGTACCATAAATTATGTAATCATTTGCCTATTGATTATTTCCCTTTTTCCTGAAAAAGAAACAAAAATAGTAATAAATGTAATTAGATTAGCTAATTAAAGAGAACTAAGTAGTATAGGAATATGTTCTCATGAAAAATTTAAACAATACCTGTGAAGTGAAATTCCATCTTTAGAAAATTCAAACAGTATAAAGTCCCTCTTTCTGAAAAAGTGAAAGTTCCCAATCCATTCCCAGTTGCTTCCCCAGAGGCAAATACCATAAGACTGGTAATATGTCCTTCTATGCATTGACATATGTTTACTTTGTTATAAATATTTTTGTTTTCCAGCCTTTCTTCTTACACAAATGATATACTCATTTAGTAAGCCAGTGAATATTCATTGAGCACTTATCACGTCCCAGGCATTGTTCTAGGTACTGGAATAGTAAACAAAATAAACAAAAATCCTTGCCCTCATGGAGCTTACATTCTACTGGGGGAGTCCAACAATAAGCAAGATAAATAAGTAAAATACAGAGTATGTTACGTGCTAAAAAGAAAAGATAAAGCAGGGAAAGGACAATATGAAATGCAAGGGAGGTGGCATTTGAAATTTTAAATCAGGTAGCCAAGGAAGGCCTCACTGAAGACATGTCTTTTGAGTAAAGACCTAAAGGAAGGTGAGGGAGCTACCTGACAGAATCGCTGGAGAAGCCCATTCCAGGCAGATTAATAACGTGTGCAAAGGACCTGAGGTGCACACCTCAAGGCCAGCAAGGAGAATAGTGTGCTGGAGCTGGGTGGATAAAAGGGAGAGCACTAGGAAATGGGTAGTGGGAGTGCAGACCATGTCATGTAGGGCCTTGTCAGCAAGGACTCTAATGAGAATTCATTGAAGGATTTTGAGCAGAAGAGTAGCACGGATTTACATTTGTTCAGAATTATTGTTTGCTGTATTGAGAATAGATTGCAAAGGGGCAAGGGCTGAAGCAGGTAGGCTGGTTAGGGTATTATTGTTCTACAGTCCATGTCATTCCACAACTTGTTGTGTTGGGTGGGTTTTTTTGGCTGGCTAGTACAGGGATCGAACCCTGGACCTTGGTGTTGTCAGCACCATTCTGTAACCAACTGAGCTAACTGGCCAGCCCCAACAACTTACTTTTGTTTTTCCCCCCAGCAAATTTTTATTTTATGTTATTTTTTAAAATTTGTTGTTTTCGGGGCCGGCCCGGTGGTGCACTGCTACAGTGCGCCGCTTGGGAGCACAGTGGCACTCCCGCCGAGGGTTTGGATCCCACATACAGACCGGTTCCCGCTCACTGGCTGAGCGAGGTGCGGACGCAACACCGAGGGTTGCGATCACCGTTGCCGGTCCCGGTCCAGTACGGGCGCGACACTGAGGGTTGCGGTCCGTTGCCGGACACGAAAAAGACAAAAAAAGGAAAAAAAAAAAAAAATTGTTGTTTTCAAATGATTACATTGTATGATGTTGAATATACTAATTATCCTGATTTGAGCATCTTAGAAGACACAGGTATTGATCAACTCTGTACCCCACAGATATGTACAATCAACTATGTTACAATGAAAAAAATTTTTTTTTTATTTAATTTTTTCATTGTACATGTTTATGGGGTAAAGTTTATTATTTCAGTCCATGCATATATTGTATAATGATCTAAGCAGAATAGTTAGCATATCTATCATCTAAACATTTATCATTTCTTTGAGGTTATAACATTTAAAAACCTCTTTTCTGGCTATCTTGAAATATACAATACAGTATTATTAGTTATTATCAACCTAGAGCACCAGAACTTATTCTTTTTATCTAAGTATAACTTTGTAACTTTGTACTGGTCTACCAACCTTCCCCACCTCCCTATGCCCCCTTTTCCCTGCCTCTGGTAACCATACTTCTACTTTCTATTTCACTCTCTTTTTTTCTCTTTTTAATTTATTTTTCTTAATTGACCCATGATAATTGTATATATTTATAGAGTACAATATGATATTTGGGTGTGTTCATACTGTGTGCAATGATCATATCAGGGTACTTAGTATGTCCATCACCCCAAACATTTGTCATTTCTTTGTGTTAGGAACGTTCAGCATCATCTTGACCAGCTATTCAAAGATACACAGTGCTTTGTTGTTAATTGTAGTCTCCCTATATTACTGTAGAACACCGGATTCCATTCTTCCTGTCTCTCTACTATTTTGTGTCCACTAACCACTCTCTACCCCTTTCCCCCACCAATCTCTAGTAACCACCATTCTACTCTCGACTGCTATCACATCAACTTTTTTAGCTTCCACATGTGAGTGAGGACGTGGTATTTCTCTCTCTGTACCTGGCTTATTTCGCTTAACATGATTTTCTCTAAGCTCATCCGTATTGCTGCAAATGACAGAATTTCTTTTTTTATGGCTAAGTAATATTCTATGTGTATATATCCCACATCGTCTTTATCCAGTCATCTGCTCAAGGACATTTAAGTTGGTTCCAACTATTGGCTGTTGTGAATAGAATCACGATAAACGTAGTTTTTTACACTAACAGTATGTCTTAGAGATGTTATGTCATTATCTAGGGCTCTACCTTTTTTTTTTTTTTTTTTTTTTG